TACTTTCTAATGCTGTTGCTTTTAAGATAAAGGAAAAATTGATCACTTTATCCTCCAAAATTAAAATTGAATCACCTTTTTTCTATGGTGACAAATGTTTTCTCTGAAATTCCTCTCTTCAAGAGCCTAATTAATATTTCAGTCTGATAAATGGGCAGAATTACTTAGAGAATTATTCTGCTAGGAGGCAATGATGCCACCTTGTGGCTGTGAGAGTTTCTACAGAGGATTATCTTGTCAAAGGATAGAAACCTACTCCTGAAGGGGAAGTTCCTTTTTTAATACTGTATTGCACTCCAGGAATAGTGTTAGAGTAACTTAAAGTGATACCTAACAAATAATCTAGGTCCCCGTGCTGGATATCATATAAATACATGACAGAACAAGCCATTCTGCCTCAAACTACTTACAGCCTTAGATAGTAACCTGTTGTATTTTAAATGTCTGAGATTAGACCTGGGTGACAGTGCAACCAGGTAGGAAATCTTCTATATCACTTCCACTGTGTCAGTTTTGTTCTGCAAATATATTTCCTGTTCAGGGGTATGTGCCAGTCCTTTAGGTATGTATAACACAAACTCTTGGTATTACCAAGAGCTGTAATTTTCCCATTTGTGAATATCTTAACATTGGTCTTTGTATGTTGCATGCTTGCAAGACACTTGCATACTAGTTAAAATTGTGCTTCTGTAATATCTGATGATGGCCTTGTTTAGACTTTCCTGTGATCACTTTGTTCTTGAGAGGGCAAATATTTCTCTTTTGCCAGTGCCAAAGGCTGAAGAGATGAACCGCAGGCTGGGCAATCTGGTGGAGGAGTTTAAGCAGCTGGTTTATCCCCCTGACTACAATCCTGATGAGAAGGCTGTAAAGCGAAAACAAGGTAAGTAATGACGGTGCAGACATGCAACATGGTGTCTGTGTTCTTTGCTTAGAGGCTTCTGCGTTTTCAGTTTGTCTCATAGTTTAAAGAAGCTGCTTGTGCAATAACTCTTTACTCATCTCCACGACAAAGTGGACTTACATCCAGTGGTGATTCTTAGAGAGTAGAGGATATTGTGGCATCCAGCTGGACTGCTGGAATGAGAGACGGGATAGTGAAAAAAGAGAGACGTATAGAAAGCAATGTGTGTAAATTGCTGCAGAATATATATTTGTTTATTATTTATCATTATTAATAACTTTGGGGTCTTTACAGCAGAGTAGTAAAACAGTTCATGCTTTAAGTTTGTGTTCTTGGTGAGGAAGCAGACTTTTACGCATGGGCTGTTTAGCAAGTCAAAGATAGACATCTTTAGGGCTAAATGTCTAAGTAATGCTGAAGTGCATGTGTAGTTTGGCTGTCTATGAAACACTGCATAAAGTGGGAGTGTCAGTTATCTGAACCCCCTGTGGAATAGTTGCGTTCTCCTGTCTAGATGAGAATCCCTTAAAAGTTTCATTTGGGGGTGATCTTTCCATCAGAATACGAACTTTCATACTTGAGTTTGACACAACTCACATCAGTGAAATATACTATATGACTTACGTAGTGAGTGACACCTACTTTATAAAACAAAATATGGAAACCAGGGCTGTGAGAGTGTAGGTAGCTGCTAAAGTACCATGTGTTCACGGCCATTAACTGTTGTATGTGTAAGAAACGTGGATGTCTTTCTATTAAGAAGCTTTTTTAAATCTTGGTGATCTAAAATGTATCTTTCTAGCTTCTGATGGTCAAACCGAGAAGAGGCCCAAGGTAGAAATCTCAAAAGATGAGCTGCGGAATCATGTGCGGAAGGGCACTCTAGGCAAACTCACTGTACCTGTTCTGAAGGACGCGTGCAGGCTTTGTGGGCTGAAGGGTGGGGGGAAGAAGCAGGAGCTCATGGATGCACTAACTGAATACTTCGAAGAGAACTAAGCAGGAGCAGAAGGCCCTGGTTGATTTCCATCTGCTTAAAGTTTTGGTTGTCTTATGTGGATGCTGTGTCTGTTTAATCTTGCTGTGGAGGAGAAGGCAACTACATGTTGCTGAATCTCGCAGTGGAGAAACTTTTTACTCTTAGTTGTGAAACATCTTGGTAAAGTTGGATTCTGTTCACAGTAGCCAAAGGCAGATTTAGACTCCCTGCTAACTCAGGTCACCCGTTGCAAGTAAACACAGTTGTGCCTTCCTGGTTTCTTAATAAAAGTTTTGTTGGACTTCTTACTTTGCGACGCTGGCTATACCATCTTTGCATCATAAAGACAGCAAAATTCACTTCAATGTAAGAAAACAGAATGATCTGTCTTAACGGCACCATATAAATTCAAGCAGCAGCCAAGTCTGAGTGCTTACAGAGGGTATAAAATTGGTGTATTACTCTCCTACTATCCAAACCAGCCAGTCAGTATCAGTACTTGTAATCAAATTGGGTTCCTTTCTATTATTGGTGTTACAAAGATTACCAGCAGATCATAAAGGAAAAAATAATTACTGAGAAGTGGCAGCCAATCCTTTTGGCAAAAAGCCATCCCTTGACAAAGCTGCGCAGCCAGGTCTTCCATTTTTAAATGGTAATAGCAAAAGCTGGTTTAAAAAAGGAAAAAAAACCACCTTATGTTCCCTGGAAGGCTGCAAATGCTTACCCCCATTATACTGACAAGGCATAGAGCTTTTCCACCGCTGCAGCAAGTATGAGTCAGACTACCATGCAGGCTTCTGTACTCAAATCAGTGCTTCAGAAATCAAAAAATAGCAAGTTGTGGAGAGTAGCCCTTGTTACTGCCAGTATTTTTTTTTTTTTTTAAACCATACATATGGAGGCTGCATCTGGGGCTGTCTATGTTTTGGTTCTTAAACTTTCACGCCTGGCATGCTCCACTTGTCTTGCAGTGCAAGATGATTAAACCCAATAATCATTCCCCTTGCTCTAGAAAACAGTACTAATTGTTTAGCTAAACTCTAACTTCCTACGGGATGCAAACATGGGATATGTGAGGAATCCATTTTGGTCTGTGTGGTGGTTTTAGGGATTCCTGTGTTTGGCACACAAACTGTTGAGCAGCTTATTGAAGAATTAAGTCCTATATTAAGGTCGTGCCTGTGCTGTAGTGTGGGACACGTATTGGGGCCTGTGACTGCTCTCTTGGCACTGTGACCACCCTAGCTGTGCCAGCACGCTGCTCGCTTCCACGGCTTCTCTCGAATGAGGAGCTAGCCCATGTGAGCTCTGCAGTATTGAAGCTACGTAGTCTATTGGACTTTCAGTCAGCCGGCATTGTAGTAGTTATTTTTAATAAAGATTTGTCTAAGCAATCAATTTATTTTGCCCTTCGGCAAAGAAGTTACTGTAAATGCTTGTCTAAGCAAGACTTGAATTGAACACAATAAAATAGTGAGACTGTCCTGTCCTTGATTCTGTGAATTTTTATTCCCCAAATGCCCTTCTTAACTTCTCTCTTGGTTTGCTAACCCCCAGGCACAGTACGTTCCAGGCTTTGGACGATTGTGGCATGTTTTGTCTAGGTTATTAGATCTTCCTCCTGGCTTTTTTTTTTCCTTTTTGTTAAAGCAGGCTATTCCATTAAGCAGAAGTTCAACAGGGATGGTGATGGAAGGCTTCAGAGCAGAAAATTAAGACAGTTTTGTTTGCTCAAGAATCTTTTATTTCTGCTCCTTATGTGCTTTGCCTTACATCAGCTGTCTTGGCATGGTACAATAGGGCAAGTCCTTTGCAAAGCTGTGGTTTTAAACACAACTAGCTCAACGGTCAGCTTCAGTAGAATGGAACAGCAGCATTTCTAAACTTCATACAAATGAAAGGACTCTAAAATCTTTGTATTAAGTTCACCTCAGCAAGGATGTTAGTTATCAGCCACTTACAAAAATACAGACATTTTTGTCTTCAGTCTTTCCTGAGCTGATTTCATCTGCTTGGGATGTACTTACTAAAGGTTTGAAGTTAGTAGAGGTTATATATGTTAGTGCCTCTGTGGAAACGTTACAGAACTTATTATTTTCCCTTCTGCTGTTTTAACTATTGCTCTTCCCACGCTAGCTTTGCTTTGGCATCGTGCAATAGACGGCAGGTTTGAGACGACCCATTCCAACACAGAGGTTTAGACTCTTCCGCTCAGAGCCATATGTGGATGCATTACACAATACACATTTAACTAGAGCTAGCTCCATACAACCACCACTAATCCAGTATGCTGGTGCTGCTTCACGCTTTTCCAGAACACGAGCTTATCTATCGTTCTCTTCTTGAGACACAAGTTGTTTTATCTGAAATATTTCTTGCTCTCCGTTGCCTTGGCCATGACTTACAAGGTTTATCTTTAGTCAGGTGGCTACAGTACAGCAGCTTCCCTAAAAGTGTGAGATATGTAGGGTACGCATCAACCACAGCAGGCTGCTCTCTACCGGGTGTTTTGTACTTAAATACCCTAAGAAGCCCCAGCTCATTGATAACAGTCCACACAAAGAAAACTGAGGTAACATGAACTACCATGCTGCAATAATCTTCAGGCAGCTCTGAGCAGTTTAGCTTTACAAGTAGGATCACTTCAGTTAGTTGCAAATGCTTCCCCAAGGGAGTGACAATTATATTTAGCTTTGTCAGCAATTTTATTTTTCTTAAAAAGTCAGTATTTAAAAATAAGCAAGATAGGAGATTTCCCCTTGCGCACTGCCGTAAGATTTCCACTCCCCATACACCTCTTACAGAAGTCTCTTGTCTGGTTTCAAGAAGAGAAGGGGTTGTGCTATGCGTACTGATCTTGGCTCCGAGCCTGCCTTACACACGGGCTGCGCCGCTCCATCGCTTAAGGCAACCACTCCAGCAGTCTGCACGCACACACGCTGCAGGGAACCAACAGGCCTTCTCCTCAGCAGGCTAAACCGTTCCGAAACACAGAGTTACTCACACCTGTGAGAGGCTGAAGCTTAGCAGAAATACTGCAACATGGAGTAAGCTGATGGTTAAAAAAGCCCTGAGCAGGCAAACATGGGGATAAGGGGGGATCTTTTTTTTTTTTTCTTTCTTTAAAACATCAAACAGGAAATACAGTTGTACAATCACTTTTCAAGAAGTAATACAATGAGAATGAGTATGTTGGAGTGGAATAATAGAAAAGAGGGGGGAAGGAGAGGCAGAAACACTAAGAATCATTATTAAACAAAAACGTGGTGTTTTGAAATGGAACACTGATACCAAAACTATAATCTCAACTGAAGCTAGACATTAATTCCCCCTGACCTCAACTTTCCTATTCCACACACGCTTTAACTCATGGGCTTTTAGACCAACAGTCTTTCTATAGCTTGCTGGACAGACTGGATCTGAGGCTTTAGCTGTGATCCCTCCTTGATGGTGATGGAGCAGGCGATGACAGGCCGGGAAACGCCACATGCCCGGCCCAGGGCTTGCTTGGAGCGCACAAACACGTAAGGTACGTTCTTGTCCTCACAGAGAAGAGGGAGGTGAAGGATGATCTCCAAGGGCTCCGCATCTGCCGCCATCACAATGAACTCCGCTATCCCTCGGTTCAGCGTTTTGGTGGCTGTAAAAGAAACCGAAGAATAAGTCCAGGTCCTTCCAGAAAGCACATCTAATGAAAAACAACATTGGGAGATGCTGAAATTGGCACAAGCAAGAAGGAGATCTAGCGGTAGCAGGAGGCCAGGCCACAGGAGGCCGGGAAGGGGGTTACTCGCAGGGCTGCACCCCAGGTTCGTGCCCAGCACTGCCCTTGAGCGCAGCAGAGGGATTCATGGGGAGCGAGGCCAGCCCAGGGCTGCTGCTGGGTAGGGGGCTGGGGCGCACCACGGATGAGGGGAGCCTGAGGGAGCTGGGTTTGCTCAGCCTGGAGAAGAGAGGGACGAGGTGGGAGTGGGGGGACACGGCTGCCGTCTTCTGCTTCACAGGGACTGCAAAGAGGATAGAGCCAGACTCTCCTCATGAGTGCACGGGCGAAAGGACAAGTTGCAGATCTGTGACTGTTGCCTCGGGGAGATTCTGGGGACACGCTGTAACTTTGTATTTGCCCCACCACCACCTTAACAAGAGGGTTTAAGCCACAGGACGTGGGTCCTGAGAGACTGTAGAGTTTCCATCCTTAGGGATTGTTTTAATAAAAGTTTGACTAGGCAAAGCCCTGAGCAACCTGATCCAACCGTGAAGGGAGCTGCTCTTTGAGCAGGTTGCACTAGGAGAACTCCAAAGGTCCCCTTCAAAGCCATCTGGCATCTACCAGAACTGTCCATAAACACTTGAGAAGATGACAGCTTGGTTCTGTCCCTGAATATTGCTTAAGCAGGCTAGGAAGAGGAGGAAGGAGAGGGACACTCGTGATATCCAGACCTATGTAACATTAGCAGCCCACATCTAGAGAGGAGAGACAATCTCTGGCCACAGCTTTTCAGGAAACCCTCGCTCCGATTTCCAGCACACGTCGCAACAGGTCTCACCTTCATTGGCTCCCTTGCGTAGCTGCTTATAGTTGCAGGATTGCTGCACGAGATCCAGTAGCGTTTTGGTGAGCTGTGCATCAGCCAGGGGGTAAGCTTTGGGGTTCACTTCTGCCTCACTCTACAGAAAGGGAGGAGTAAGGAGTATTACAACAGGAGCAAAGGGGGCTTTGTTCTGAACAACAATTAGGCAGGCATCATGTCCACCGCATATACTGACTACCGGAGTCACCTCGCCGTTCTCGGTTGCTCTGCACATGCACTAAAAAAATCCCACGGCACTTTATTTATGAAAATGGATTCTTCTCGTATTCAAAGCAGACAGCATCCCCCACAGCCCGCCAATTTACATCCTACAAACCAGCAGCAGTGAACGTACAGGGCAGTCTTCAGGCATTTGCTACCAGGGATACTTAATAAAACAAAGTGTTTCGGTGCACGAGGAGCAAGCTCCTGCCAGCGGCAAGTTAACAAGCTCAGACACGACTTTCAAAGAACTCCCGAGAAGAGCACGTATCGGGTTTATGTCTGCAAACGACAAGTAGCTTCCATCGGCTAACATCCACGGCGTAGCGGAACGGCAACGAAGTCACGGGCGGCGTTA